ATCGACCTCTGACCTATCTTCCACGTTACAGAAGTTAGGAAGGGGCAGAATACCGCGATGGCAGTCAAACGCGCATGGCTGCTTTCCGTTATTCTCCTCACCTCCTGGGTTATCTATCCCTTCTCTCAGAATGCAACCATCTCGCTACCCTTATCACGCTAGACGACCAAATCCAACATTCAAATTGTACTTATCTATTTCTGTTGTGTATGTCGCGTTATTTACGAGAATCGAATTGCCGTTGCGCATTTCTGATATAAATTCGAAATTCGTAATTATCGTGCATTTATCAATAATCGCGTATTTTATCTCATTTTGCAAGGTAACAATGCGGATAGAAATAACGCGAGAATATTTCGGGATAAAGTCTTTATGTGATTCAAGATTTTTATAGAATTAAATTGAAGGAATATTTAAATATGACATCTTCCTCCGAATCGCTGTAAATCTGCACAACCGTTTCGTGAGTGGCGTCTTTCATGATATGAAAAAATATCGTCGTAAGCTATTGCATTTCCAAGAAAATATGTTGGTGCTGCGGTTATCATTTCGCGTCACAATCCCGGTTAAAAATGACCGAATGAATGCGATTAAAACAGCAATAAACAAAGTAGGTCCACTTTAAAACGTAGGGCAACGAGTCGCGATACGATGCAAAAAAACACTACCATTTTCCTTGTAATATATACGGGGAGGAATCGCAGGCTATATATACGATACGAGGAGTCCTCCGGACGGTGGAGGATCGAAGCCGTGGTCCTCCGCTTACCTAGGTGAGGGATGAGGTGAGCGAGATGCGCATGTTCGCTTTCGAGGAGGGAGCACGCCCCCGCGCAATTTCATTTTCTAAATGAAGCGAGCCAACCCCCTGGGAGGAGTGGAAGGCTTGGCCGTTTCGTGTACGCTCGTGCCTGCTTGACTGCAATCGAAAGCGCATATCCATTTAATTAATTATGCATGAGGTTTGCTGCAACCGAAACACGGGTCAGCGTTATCGTTAACCCGTATGAAAATGGTCGAATCGCGTCTGCTTGCGATTGCCAGTGACTCGCGTCATCGTTTCTTTTTATAACCGGTATTGTATTTCGACAATTTGTATAAAAATCGGAAGCTTCCTAAAAACATGAAAACTGCGAATAAAATTAACTATCGTAACCGTTTTATATTCATCAAGTTCCAGAGATTTACCAACATCTCCCAAAGTGAGACTTTACGATAAATTATCGAGATTTTTACGTAGTGATTTTTAACAAAATTTAATTTTGACTTTATATATTTTAAATATTTTGTAATAACTGCCTTATATTTTGTTCAATGTTGCATATCCACTAAAAGACCGTTTATACACGCTGTCGTGATCTTCGACTCAAGTTGAGCTTCTTCCATCTTCCTTTTCTCTGCTAGATTCATTTCTCATTAATCTCTGTCTTCATCCTTTTACTCCGTTTCATGATTTCTTGCTACATTGCTCCGGACCGTCCTCCATGTCCCTTTTCGCCTTGCTCATTTAAGACAACATGGCCGATCGACCGGGCGCCATTGAACAAGTCGTTGAAGGATTTTTAAAGACATTCAACGATTTACTTTTTCTTTGGTCTTTATGAATGGATATCAAAAATTCTACTCACTGACGATGACTCATATCGGAAAAATTCTGATTAATCTTATCATAGAAAAGACACAGATAAAAATAATCTATATGTGATTTTTTTATTTACAATTGAAGATATTTGAAAGAAGGTTCACAAAAAAATAATTTCCCTTTAATTTAACTAAGAACATTTATTTTTTGTAGCAATATATATATATGATAATATAAGATAATTTTAAACTTATGTAATTAAATTCTATTTAAAGCTAATTTGTTATAAAAATTATATAGGTGAAGAAGAAATTAAAATATGATTGATTTATGTTTTAATGTATGTGTCAATAGTTGATAAATTTTTGAGCTAATTGACATATTGTCACAATTGCATATAATAATCCAATACGTGATTTATACTAATAACAATTTCATTTGTATTTAATTATAATGTTACATCATACACACAATTACAGTTTTATTACTTCATATTAGGGCTCATCGACTGCAGCAATTTTCTTTGATTATCTTCTTGCATCCTTCCATCAACCTTCTGCGTGTCTCCGACTTACATTTATGTATCATGAATCATTTAAACGATCCACAATTCGGCATATGCGAAATTTTTCTAATCTAAACTTGATCCCAATCTTTCAAAAGATATATGTATATTAAAATTCTCGTCGATGTGTCACTGTAGAGAACGGGTAATCGTCAAAAAACAGTCCGGCGCCAGTGAAGAGCGAGACGTAGAGCCGGGCAGCGGCGGGGTCGGTCTGTCGGTCTGTCGGTCGCCCTCATAGCAGTGCCAGAGCATGGAAAACAAAAAAGCTTCCCCTCTCCTCTATGCTATAGCTATCTTTGAGAATGGCCTTGAACTTCGAGGAAGAACCCCATTGGCCGAAAAACCGTGTCGCAGTTTTTCCTCGGGGCAGCGGCAGCAGCTCTACGAGCACGAATCACCGGGCGAAACGGCTCTTCTTACAAGCTACTTGTTAGGTAGCTCGGAAGGTGGAACGAACTCCCCCTTTAACCTAACCAGCAACCCCCCTTGAGGTCTTCTTCTTCTTCGCCCTTCCCTTCGGCGATAAGATTTGTGGTTATAGCTTGTTTTTGGGGCACTCCGCGGGGGTCGACAATGTCGCTCGCGTTTTCGTTGCTCTTTTCTTCGAGAAGAAGGAAGGATAGAGTACTTATTAATGGCCAGTGAATAAACCCACAACATCGCTAGATTTTTCACTGATCGTGAGGTAAGAGTGTTACTCATTAAAGAGATTGAGATATATTGTTATATACTGAAATATACGCGGGTTAATCTTTCTCCGTCATTTTAAATCTGCAAGGCTTAAGAAAAAAAAGCTTAATCAAACTTATATATTTAATTTCTATGTACAAAATGCAATGCGTGATTAATAATACGTATATATTTATTTGAGACCGATTGTATTTCTTACAATTTCTTAAGATAAAATTGCAGCGATCTTATAATAATGGTATGTAATTAATATAGCATGTGAGAGAAATATTAATATTTTTTAATTTTATATATATATATTATTAATTTATTTTTTACGATCGACGTTCGCGGGCATCCCTTTTCGCGGATTCGCGTTTCGTTTTTCACTGACCTATGAAAATATAATATTACCGGTAATGCATACGCATTTAAGAAACTGGAGCATCGAGAGTTCCATGACCCTCTCTAACCATGACCATCAACCCCATTTTAGTCTTTCTTCGTCTCCGGCGATAAGATTTGTGGTTATAGCTCCTTTTATTGGTCCACACCACGGGGGTTGGCGACTTTGCTTCTCATACATCCTCTCTTTCTCTTTTTATCCAAACTTGGCGGATTGCGAAGCATACGATTCAAGGTCAATGGTAAAGCGTAACAGTAAAAGTAGGCTCATGAAGAGAGTCGAATTTTATTTAAATAGATTGTTAATTTTTAAATATCTTATCATATCTCATCCGCGGGACATTATATTCTTTCGTTAACATCAACTAGTTCGCGATTCGTAGTTTTGTACTTACATCAAAATAAAATATAACGAGACGGTAGAAGTGGATTCTAATAAAATCTTAATATTGACATATTTTTCTTCTAATGTCAGTTTTAAATAAACAGTCGCAATTTACATGCAAAACTCTTAAATTGACCGTTGCTCGAAGTGAAAATCAGAAAAGGACGTCAACTTGTTAAAATGTATCTGCGTGGGTTCACCGACCCCTCCGCGATGGATGACTTTTTATCCTAGAACCGTTTTTTTTTCCCCCTTCCGTGTCTGGCCGAAGAAATACCCCCGGAATTCGTGAACCATTTCAGGGGCGGGGTTTTGCATGATGTTTCACAGCGTTCGCGACCTTTCCCAAGCTTCTCCACGCCGAGGACGATGCCGTGGAATTAGGTCGCGAGAGGTCAGAATCTCGTCCTTCCGTGTTCACGATCCGAGATTTTTACTCTCGTCAAGGTCGACGCGCGGTGATTCAGCTAGGTTTTTGCGTACTTGCGAATTCGAGGGTTCGTTGGTACGGTAATGATCGTTTCGACGCGTCGTTGTTTTCTCCTCTCGCGAAAATTAGTGGTTACACCGTATATATATATACGCGGGGAAGAACCATCCGTATAATTATCGAGAACGCGACTTATGAATTACGTTACAACATCTTGATATGCGATACAGCATACAGGATTATTCAACGCATATATCATTTACCTCATAATTTTTGCATGATTAAAATATGTTCGACAAGTCATCAATCACGGATTTAAATTAATTTATTTCATAGTACAAGATATGATATTAAAAAATAAGGCGAAATTACATTTTACATTTATATTTTGAATAATTATTTTAATTATTTTAATTACGAAATTAATTATTCTCGTCTTTTTAAAAAACGAACGAATGTGTTTAGAGTTTAAATGTGAAATGCAACATAATCGTCTCTTTGCATCAAATTATCATTTATTATCATCAAATTCAATCACTCTAATCATATCTTTTTCTTGAAAATTGCAAAATAGAAAGGAATTTTTCCTATACGATATCAGAATGACTGGTATCGTTAGAGCATTGTGTTCAAGAGAAGCTGTTGCTCCCACTTTGGCGGTATCCGGCCAGTGAGGAAGAGAGAGAGAGAGAGAGAGAGAGAGAGAGCAAGAAAGAGAGAGAGAGAGAGATAGTGATTATCAAAAGGGAGAGGGAGAAAGAGTTTACGCTTTCTGTGTATCCCATCCCCACTCTCCCACTCTTCCGCGGCAGGTCGCTCTTCCCCCGCCGCCAGTCGGCGCGCGGCACGAGCAAGTGACGGCGGACAGTGAGGGGCAGACACGAGTACCGGCGGAGACGGCCGAGCACGGCCGAACGGTCGTTCGAATCGCGGCTCCCGCGTCAGTGCTGAAACCGCGTCCGCGGTTCACGGTTCACGATATCCGAGCTTTGCCGCGATTGCGTTTTTTTTTTTGTCGTACGCGTCCCGGGCACATAGGGATAAAAAGAGATAGGGGGGAGGGTTGTGGCGCGCTCGCTTTCAGACGAGAAAAAGTCGAAGAATTTTTGCGGTGATCGAAATCACGATCCTCGCTCGCGACAGTGGAGACTCCGTTTCTCGACGACTTTAGAGAGAGAGAGAGAGAGAGAGAGAGAGAGAGAGAGACGGGGGGGGGAAGGAAAAATAGAGTGAGGAAAAACAGTGAGATAGAAAAAATTAATTTGCCGCGTGTTAGCGTCGCATAACAATCGAGCTTCCATCTCGCGCTGTTTGTCATCGCGGTTATGGCGCGATCCGCGAGCGCTCGTATCGCGCTGCGGATTTCGAAGCGCGGGCGCCCCCGTCGGCATTAGATAATTACATAGGTGATGTTTCTCACGATCGAGTATCCGCGCCGTGTGCTACGTGTATTATGAGCGGCAACGATAACGCGCCGATCGATGGATCGAACGACGAAGGGAGGAGATCGGAGAATGGCACACGTCGCGCGATCGTCGATCGACGCGTGATCTCGCATGGTCCGTGAAGAGAGCGAAGCCCCCGGGCGGCCACGTAACCTGTCGCGAACCAGCGCAAAACGGACGTACTCTCTTGCTACGTGGAGGGAGGAAAAAGGCCGTGCGCTCCCGAGAGGATACCGACGCGCGTTACTCGAACAGCACGGAAACGTGGAGTGCGAGCGGACGCGCGACACGCGCCCGCGTGCGCGCGGGCTCGCGGCGATCTTTTGTGTCTCTCGTGAAACTCGCAAAATCGAAACACAAGACGGGAAAAGTATAATCTAGTCATCGGAGTTTTATCGCAGAATATTTTAGCTCATTCGTTCGCCGCGACCTCGAAAAGGAACGCGCTCGACCAAGTTCGGAAAAAAAGGTAAACAATCAACGCGACTGAGAAAGAGAGAGAGAGAGAGAGAGACAGAGAAGTCGAGTAACAATCTTGACGCAAGGTCGAGCCGGCTCGACGCGCTGTGTTTACGTTTAATATCGCGAGGGACGCCGAAGAAGAAGACGCTGTGGTGTGCGTGTTTGACGACGCAGTGCGGTGTCGGACGTGTTCACGCTCGGACGAGCAGCGAGACGAGGTAGCCAGCGAGTAGCACGAGCGGCGACGTCGATGACCGTGCGACGAGGACGGGGTCGGACGGTCGTCTCTCGGCTCCGAGGAGGTACGCGCGGCACGCGACTTCCGTTCGCGGTGCGAACGGATCGAGAGTTTGTATCTGTACGCGAATACCAGTGATCGTCCTCTGTACGCGCGATTCTCTCGAAAGCTCTCGCGAGAGAACGAACGGAGAACGCGATCGTCGTCAGTGCGCGAGCGCGGTGGCCGCGCGCGATATCGCGACTATATCGCGTCGTTCGCGGTGCAGTGATATCATCGCCGGCGAGGTGCATCGTATGCATACGTCGTACATTGTCGGGAAAAAGTTGACGGGGAAAAAAGAGGATATATATATATATATATACGCGCGGAAAAAAAAAACGTGACGTGTCTGAAAGTGATCGAGTCCGTTCGGGACGAGGGACGAACAAAGTTTGTGAGGAGATTCGAAAAATAGTGTTCCATTCCGCAAGATTAACTCATGTATCCCTGGTACCGGGACAGCGTCGCGGCCGCTGCGGCAGCCGGCCTTGGCGGGCCTGTCGGCGTTGTGGGTTCCGGATTCTGTTCGACCGGGCCCGGCCAGGGTGCCACCACGATCAAGACTGAGAGTGGATACTCCGACTGCATGCTCGCCCTCGACTATGTCCAGAGCAAGGTAAGCGATACGATGCTTTCTCCCTCGTACTCCGTATTTTATATACACAGCCTCTCTCATTTCTCTCCGATTTTAATCTCCGCATTTCACGATAGTTTCTCGGTTCAAGATTTCTCGAGATATCTAAGCGAGATTTTTAATCGTTCAAGCCTACATTTTTATATCGTGCGTTTAAATGCAGGGGTCGTTTGACTCCCGATTTCGTTCGCCGAATACAAAGATCGCGTGCAATGTCAACATGAGATGAAGATCTTATTACTGGCGCGCTTGATGATGAATATACGTTGAGAGCACGAAACTTGATTCCTCTTTAAAGTTAATATTTAATTTGCGTGGCTCGAAATGCGGAATCTTGAAATCAGATATATGCACGAATATATAGATAATACAAAATTAATGATTTGAGTAATTCGCGATTTTGGAATTTTAAAACTCGCGGATGAGTTGGAAAAAAATTGAATTATTAAATAAATTATAAAAAAAATATTAAAGTAAAGTTAATATAAAGAGGCTATCTCGTTTTTGCCGTATTTCAAATTTTCATAATAATTCTATTGTCAATATCAATTTTCTTGTAACAAAAATTTGGAGATGAACTCAATTATTAATATATTTATTTACAATGATAAATATTTTTGCAAATTGTCAATGGATAAAAATTACGTAGATAAAATATAAAAACAAATCTTATTTTTCTAAATTTAATGACGAATATATATTACTTTTACAAAAGCAATTTAATCGAGATTTATATGATCAATAATGTATCGTTGTTTTAAAAATTGAAAAGTTGTGAAAAATGATAACATTTTATCAAATATTTGCTTTTATAAGATAATAAAAAATCATCACATATAATATCTTTGAAAACTTTTAGAATACGTGGTGTATCAATATAAATCTTTCAGCACTTTTCAAAATATAATTATTATACGACATCATGCGTTGTCATACGATAAAGAGTAGTTTATTTTGGCTATTGTTACTGGTGCTTTTGATCCCGTTTACTTTCCGGCCGGATTGTTGCTGATCGCACGCTCGCGAGCGGTGCGGTATTTCTCCTTTCTGACATTTATACGACGACGGGTAAACGAGACGAAATGTTACCGCCTCTTGTCGAGAACCTTAGGAATGTAAACAAAAATTCTTTCGATCCTATTGAAGAATGTACATATAAACTGGTTTTATATCAGCTTTCGCGATAATCCGCATTAGATTCTTTTTCTCGATTATCGTTGTACAAACATTTCTTTATACAAAAATTTGCGCGTGTTATATAGAAGGAGTTTGTGACGTAAATTCGTATCAAAGCAAATGTATAATGTAAACGATAAATAATTTATATTTTTTGCAGTGGAAAATTATTTAAAAAAATTATTTAGACTTTGAAAAGTTAAAAGTGTTTAGAAATGTAAATTATATACAAATTTATTGAAATGTATATTTCATATAAGTTTTAAAAAGCTTAGAAATGATAAATATTAATAATATTATTTAAGATTAAAAAATATTATAAATATATTATTTAAGAATAGTAATTTTTAAAATATTTACTCTTAAAAAAAGTTTTTAAGAGGAATTTTTAATGCGAGGAAAATACGGATTGTCTTGTCTAATCCTGTTATGTATTATCTACTGCACTATTATTCATCTCACGCACATTTTATATATTACGTCCGTCACAAAGTAGTGACGTTTGCATGCTAATACTGCATCTCGAACCATTAATTAAATCATCACTGAAAAAAAATATGCGCGAGTCGCAACTATATGACTTTATTTATGAGATCAATGTTAATTATATGTCAAATCAGTCAGTTTCGCATTTGACAATACAGTTTGATGCGTTGCGAAGAAGTAATTTATTATTAATGACTTAATACCGAGTAACTTTTTTACATTCTCGTTTTGAACGAAACAAATATATTATCTCGATGATCAGTTGTTCGATATAGTAAATTCCGTCTTTAATGCTATTGTTGTAGAATATAAAAACTTGAAGTAACTTCTTCCTGTTTTTGCGACGGTGATTATAGTCATAGCCGGTATAATAATAACGTCGTAAGTGCTCGCAGATGAAGATTAATACCTGGATAATCGCACGGTGGCAACGAACTTGATATTTCAAAGAAAATTATCCTATTCGCGTCACACGTTACATTTCCAGGTATCGTTTACCTTGAATGTAGAAATACGCGTATAATACGATCATGCGTGTATACAATATATTAAAATTATAATTCCTAAAATATTTTTACTACGAAACTTATATTGATTAACCGCGATTTAAATAATATACTCTGCTGAATAATTTTCAATTCGTACAATCATTATTTTTCAATTGTAATAAATTTTTAATTGTAATAAATTTAAATTTTTTTTTTTTGATTGTAATTAATTGATAGGCACATGTCGTATTATTTCACAATGAATACATAAACGCGAGAATTTTTTTTATTTAGACAAACTTGGCTGTAAATTTCAAATAATTCGAAACTGCAATTTTGTAGTATACCGACGGCAAACAACGAGACCGCAGAAGTCGTGTATTAAAAACGTATAATGAGATACGGAATGGAATTAAGCTACTTCCCAAAGATAGTAATCTTCCAAGGTTAGATCGAAATAAATGTAAATTTTAATTTAATTTGATTGATCCTTTAATCCATTTATTTCGTTTTATAATTTATCTCGTTTCTCCGCGTTGCTTCCAACTACTGTTGTAATGAATTATCGCGTTAATCTTTCGATTTGCCTCGTGCATTTTCTTATTGAATATCGTAGATAACACACAAGAAAAACTGACGAACCCATGCCGCGACTAAATCGACAAGAAAGTAATCTGGCGTGTCAACCTGTGAAAATGATTTGTTCGTAAAAAATCTGAGCGTATTATCAAGTGATCTAGGAACTATAATAAAGCGCCATTTATATCAACGAAAATTTTTAAATTTGATATTACAAAGATTTTTTTGCGCGAAGATAATAATTGATTATCGTTCGATAAACCTGAGATATATAGAAAAGCTTTAGTTTTTAAAATACTACTTTGAAAATAACACCGCAATATCTTTATTTATGTTTCAAGCATTATGATATCTGTAAGTATGTACTTTCTCTCTCTTTTCTCTTTTTTGATGGCGATGATATTTTTTCGGTTATGAACGGGTATAATAATGTTAATGGACATAATGCGCAATCAGACGTGAATGTAATTTGATTTTGACAACGTATGACTTGACTGGTTTTTCGCAGATGATAGTCAATTACCTTCGGCGCCCCGAGCGATGTCATTATGCGTGTGCTTTGTACGATTTTATCGTTCTTCTCAATTGCACCACTTGTGAACCGTGAAATCATAGAATAAAGTATTTACGAATCGCAATCATATATTCACAATTGTCACTCTCGGATAAGATTTCCGATAAATTTTATACAAACAATTGAGTTTCCTCAAAACTTTTCTTCGCGCGAAAACGCGATGAGTTAATTTGACCTGATATATCCACAAAATCCCATGCAGTAAAGTGCTAAGCTTTTTTTATTGTCACGTATAATCGTTTAATAGCTACTTAACGCGGCCGTTAATAATTAATGATGGCAATTAGACAGAGTGTTGACGACTCCGTATCCATTAACGAGTGAGTGAGATCTTAAGGTTCGATCATAATTTCTAGCAATTAATCACCCGTGCATAGAATATGTCAATTTTTTGTGCAACTATGATTTCCTTATATTATTTCTTACGAATGTATCGTTATCTTTGTTTTATTAATATATTTCTATCGCACATATTATTTATATTATATTTTATTATTATTTTTTTAAATTAATATATATTTTATTGAATCGTGTGTGTTACGTCGCGAATGATCGATGTCATCAAGTGATAGGAAATGATAAAGTTGAAAATCTCGCGCCTGTGTGTAACGGAAACAGTTTCTTATTTTTATACGCGCGTGAAATCTTGTGTTTTTAAATTTTATTTAAACAATAATTAAAATTGGATAATATTACTAGAGAAATTATATACCGTATAATAAATATTTACATGTACATAATACAAAAATATACACACACACAGATATATAATTTTAAATCGTTTGGATTTTTTCGCCGAAATTTTATATAACAGACATTTGTTCAATATTTTATTTAATCACATTTGCTTATACACGCTTAACTTCATGTGGAGAACATACTAGAAATTATTAATACACGCCTATTTCTCGTGCTATAATAATTTAGATTATTTAATCACATGTTACGTGAAAGTCTAATGTAATAAATGGATACAAGTCGAGTTCTGATACTCTGGTGTGTAAACGCGCGGATAGATAATCTGCATACACGCACTGAGAAAAAAAAAGTTGTTAACTTGACTAAATGCGTTCAACTAATTATCATTTTTTTAATTGAAATATTTAAGTACTTAAGTCAAATACGTCATGTTAGATTTAATATGTCGTATTTAATTTAAATACTTAAATATTTCAATTAAAGAAATAATAATTAGTTGAACGCATTTAGTCAAGTTAACAACTTTTTTTTTCTCAGTGCGTGATTCGCCATAATTAAAAAGAAATTCTCGAAAGAGATTTTATTCTATGATTTAACGAACTTATATATCCTACATTATTACCGATAATTATCGAGCCATCGAGCCATCGAGTGCCGCGAGTCACCAATCAGACGACTTTGGCGTTCGACGTGCACGGAATAGATTTTCCTGCGGGTGCCGGTCACTAAATTACTAAATTAACAAATTAATATCGCGCGCGCAACGTGTAATTGCCCCGGCAATTACGAGATCCTTTTTTAATTATGTATATTATATGTCCCGTACACGAGACTCTTCTACGAGGCTCTCTTTGTTGGCCCCCGCGCGTCCTTTTACATTTTCCCGCAATTATTACTCTGAGCTCCCGGTGAGGCGCGCATTCGATGCGAATAGATTACCGGGAAAGCGCGACGACAGCTGATTATAAAAATAATTACGG